CACACACACACACACACACACACACACACACACACACACTCACACACACACACACACACATGCATGTTTTACAGATATTGGATCAAACACACATACAGAGACACACACACACAACACACACACACACACACATACACACACACACCACACACAACACACTCAGTACACACACAAAACACTTGCACACATTCATACACACACATACATAGACATGATTCATCGTACTATTTTACCCTCTATCGGAGTGATAGCGCGACTTTCGACCACAAAGTGCCAAACAGTGAAAAAATAAAATAAAATAAAATAAGATAAAATAAAACAAAATAAAATAAAACACACACATATGCAATAATAATAATTAAAAAAAAGAGATAACGATCTTTGTTACAAACCTTGTCTTGTCTCATTAATTACAGGTAGTGGATCAGAGAGAGAGAGAGAGAGAGAGAGAGAGAGAGTTAACGAGGGAAAATGTTTGAGGACGTTAAAAATAGAAGTACTGTCGAAAGTTTTCAAGAAAGCCACTCGTTGTCAAGGGAAGAAAGGAGAAAGTTGGTTGTCTTAGACAGGTGAATGTATTAGAGAGTGTCATTATAACACGAAATACAACGTGAGTCGGGTAGTGGAAGGTGATTTTTTTTGGGGGGGGGGGAGGGGTTGGGGGGTTGGTAGTTGTTGGGTTTTTTGTTTTTGTTTTAGTACAGGTGATTGTTTTAGACAGGCAGTTGTTAGAGCAAGTTTGACTCCACCAGGGTTAAAACACATGTATGGTAAGGGTGCAAAAACACGACATCTGAACTGTTTTATGTTCCTGGCAGACAACCGAAAACTCTTGTGACGTAGGGGTCAGCGATATCATTTCTTATCTAACCAGAATGCCCCAGAAGCAACTAGCGGCTAGAGCTTACAACACCCGAGAATCCGGTTTTAAATCCAGGGGAAGACCAAGAAAGACCTGGCTGGATGGGGTTAAAAAGGTCCTGGAACAACATTATATATCTTTCACAGACGCTACACACCTAGCACAGGACCGAAACTTGCTCCTCCCCTCGGGCGTCCTAAGGGTACCAGAGGAAGGAAAAAGTAAAGAAAGATACCATTTCTTGGATTGCTAGTGCCGGAAGGCATTTTATCGTGGATTGCAAGAGCTGGAAGGCGTGGTCTAAACCAATGCTTGGCAACAGATGTGGGGGTGTATGAGGGTTGGGATATGTGGTATGGTATGTGTGTGTGGG